AGCAGAAACTTCAGTCATTACATTTTTAAGGTGAAAGATAATTTATGATTTTAATTAAGAAAATACATGTATTGCACTACATGTACAGATATCTGGGGATGGTGTGATTATGGGAGATTTTCCCTCTTTACATGTTCTTAATGATATTTTTCCAATTTTATACCTGGACATATGTGATTTTTTTAATTGAAAGAATGTTTTTGGGACATTAGGTAGATGAAAGCAAGTTAGTCACCCATGCAGAGGCCTCAGCAGGGTGAGGATGGGGTTTGTAGGTTAGAGGGCTTGGGGAGTTAAACCTCACAGGGATGAGGTAGGTAGTCAAGTGTGTGCACTGGGTGGTGGAACCCAGAGGCCAAGAAAAGCATCTGTGTGTAGTTAAGGCCTTATTTAGAATGTAGAGAGCAACTTGGATGCTCAGGGTAAAGAAGGAGTTCATAAAAGAGGTGAACTAGCACAGGGAGTCAGAACCCAAGTAAGGTAAGGAAGGCATCCATATGTGGATAGCAGCCCGGGGTGGCAAATTCTAAGTCCAAACAGAGGATGAGGAGGGTATGCAGATGGGGGAAGAGTTCAGTGGCTCAGTGAGAGTTTGGTTACATATGAGGTGAGGGAAAGGGACGATTGATCAAATTAGTCAAAATGCTCAGGGTAATGTGTCAGTAAAAGGACAAGTTATGGAATAGGAGAGGTGAAAATAGACCCTGTGTTATGGCATTACAACTGGAGGTTTCAGTGCACACTCACAGTTTCCAACGTATAGATAGATGGCTCTAGATATCCATGTAAATACATTCATACATTCATTCTTGGACACTCCAGTTCTACACTGTGCTGGGATGAGATGCTCAAAGTCATGAGAAATGTTCAGAAGGACACGAACTCTTCTCGGAAAAGCTCCAACTGACCAAATATGGAAAATAGATGCGTAAAATAATTGATTATATTGCATTGAATAAAGTAAGAGACTAGATTGAGAAGGTAACTCAGAGGTACAGTACTTGTCTAGCATGTGTAAGGCCAGTACAAACAAGCAAAACAAAACAAAACAAAACAATAAAAACCCAACCCAGAATCTATGAATCCATACTGAAGACGAATTTCACAGAGGAGAAACCTGGCAGATATCAGTGATAGAATCATCATCTGTTGAGGGGACAAGTTAAAATTATGTGCACTTGATAGGATGCAGCTCCACTCCTGTGGTATTCCTGTTAAAGATGCATGGCCTGGACTGGGGATACAGCTTAGTGTAGAGTGCTTGCTTAAAGCCAGGGTTAGATTTGTTCCAGACTAAAGTAGCCTGATGATACATGAGCTACAACTGGATCATTGGGCAACAACTAGCTGAGCCTGATGAATGGGGTTTGAGGATTTTAAGTGTCAACATTGATTTCCTGGTTTTCACACTATGTAGAAAAGTATTCTTATTTGTAGGAAGTACACACAAAAGTATTTAGGTGTGTTGGAGTTATCAGGTTGGCAATTTACCATGGTTTAGGGAAAACCATTTACATTATACGTGATTTTTAACAATCATACTTGTTTCAAAAATCTAAAAATAACAAAAAGCATCAGCTTCAAATATCAATATTTTTAGGAAGAAATTTTTCTTGGTTTATTGTTTGTTTGGTTGGTTTTTTGAGAAAAAGTCTCACTGTGTAGCTATGACTGGCCTCAAACTCACAGTGATCTGCCTGTTAAGACTAAAAGTGTGTGCTGCCACACTTGGCTAAAGATCTCTTCTTATCTCCTTCCCTTAATGCAATTTTAAAGCATGCTTATCTATATATATAGTTTGAAATTTAATGAATATTCAAATTTATGGCCCTTAGGGTTTTAAAAAATGAATACAGGGCAGATTTTTTTTAAATGTGGGCTGGAGAGATGGCACAGCTGTTAAAGGCTCAGACTTATAACCAAAAAGACACAAAAATTTGTGTGTGGTGTATGTATGTCTGTGTGTGTGTGTGTGTGTGTGTGTGTGTGTATGTGTGTGTGTGTGTGTGTGTGTGTGTACCTGTGCATGCAGGTATAGAGGCTAGAGGTTGACATCAGATGTCTTCCTCTATTGCTGTCTACCTTATTTGTATATGTGTGTGTGTGTGTGTTGTTGTTGTTGTTGTTGTTTGTAGTATGTACATGTATGTGTGCTGGGCACCTGTGCAGGCAGAGGCCAGAGAAGGGCATTACATGTTCTCTATTACTTGTTCCTTTGAGGCATAGTCCTTTACTGAACTTGGAGTTTTTTCACTAGGCTGGCTGGAAATCAGCAAGCTCCAACCATCCTCCCGGTTCTACCCTCGGTTCTGGGGTTATAGATGTGGGTAGAGCCACATCTTGCTTTTATGTGGGTACTGGAATCTGAACTCTGGTCCTCATGCATGCACAGCAAACACTTTTAAGCACTGAGCTGTATCTTCACCATTTCTTCAATCTCCTTCACCTTAGTATTTAAGCCAAGGTCTCTTACTGAACCTGAAGCTCACTAACTGAAGCTCACTGATTAGACTAACTGCTCACCAAGCCCCTGGGATCCTTCTTCCTCTTCCTCTCTAGTACTGGGATTGTAGGCACACACCTTCATGCCTGGCTTTTTCCATGGATGTAGGAATCCAAACTCAAGTCCTCATGCTTACATAGAATACACTGAACCATATCCCCAGCCCTAGGGAAGATTTTTGTCATATTTGTTTTATTTAATGTTTTAAATTTTGTGTATAAATTCAAGCAATCTAAATTTCTTTTTAACAATATGTTTTGGGGATGTGCATGAGGGTTGAGACAGGGTCTCATGTAGCCCAAGCTGGCCTTGAGCCCTGATCCTTCTGTTCCCACCTCCCAAGTACTGGGATTTCAGGCATGTGCCACCACATCTGGCTCCAAGTTTATTTTATGATCTTTATATAGATTGAATTTTTGATAGTAACAAACATTTATAATTTGAAAAGCAGTTTCACAATTATCTCATTTGATCCTAATACATTTCATGTACTCACACAAGACAAAAAAAAAAATCATGCTGGAGAGATGGCTCAGTGTTAAGAGCATTGACTATTCTTGCAGAGGACCCGGGTTCCATTCCCAGCACCCGCATGGTGGCTAACAACCATCCATAACTCCAGTTTCAGGGGATCTTCTGACCTCTGTGGACATTACACAACATGGGTGCACTTACAGATTTGCAGGCATTACACTCATACACATTAAAAATAAAATAAATTATTGCTTATCCTGTTATGTACAAATATGTATTATTACGATTCTTAGTTTATAGAGGAGGCTGAATGACTACATGCATCTAAGGACTGGAATCAGAAGTCCAGCCCACATAATGTGATGGGAGCCTGTTGCCTCATACTGAGTTCTAGCCTGCCAGTGAAGTGATCCAGGGCCCATTTCTTTATCAGCAAAACAGATAATAGTAACAACAAAAACAACAAGCCAAAACATAAAATAGCTGAGAATAACCTTAACTAAAAAAGCATATCACTTACATAGAAAAAATATTTTATTATAAAGGTTTCCCAAGATGTTTGAATAACTTGCATATAGGTCTGCCAGGCCCTGCTTTGTTTGCACTTTCAGGTCCATTAACAAGTTCAGGTATGGTGCTTTAGAGCTTGTGAAACATTTATTCAGGAAAGCTGAGATGATATTTTCCCCCCTTTTGGTTATTATCATTCCAAGAAATCCTTTGTTCTGTTAATGAGGGTAAAGACAGATGGGTTTAGGAGAGACTTGTCCTTCTAAAAGGCCCCCTGCTGCTCTCTATGACTTGAGGCAGTCTTATGGGAAAGTTGCATTTCCATGTTTTTTCCCTTGGGGATGTGGCTGCATTGTTGTTACTATGAAGCTCTACTTAATTGGTCCAAACTCTGCAGCATTATGAGTAATATCTTTGTCTTTCTCCTGAAAGCATAACAGAACAGCTCATGAGCATTTTTCAAAAGAGAAGAAACTTTGAAAGAAGAGACCATCAAAGGAAATGTTTAGACAGTGAAACTGACTGTTTTCAAACAAGTCTAATTCATTTTATGTCTGGCAATGTAGACATCTTAATAACAGAAAACAGTCCCATTATCTGTATGCTTCTATTAACCAAGTTTATTTCGTTGAGCTCAGTGGGCAGGACACCATCTGTTACCAGAAATTTTCTTTTCGTCAAACCTGCCCCCATTAAGAGTTCCAGTTAAGTAACATCAGCTGTCCTCTAGTTTAATTTCCATAACTTAATTCAGAGGGATAGAGAAAAGGGCAGCTAAGAGGATCTTGTAAATTGCATTGAGGATTTAATTTGGTCATCTCTTTGGCAAGAAAATTAGGAGGAGGAGTTTATGTGTGGTACAGAAAAACACCAGAGAAGGGTACAGAACTCTTGATGTATGGGGGTAGCTTGAAAGAAATAGTTGGATTAAGAACCACAACCAGGAACATTTGGGGAACACAAATTAGACTTAATAGACCTTTAAAAATTAATAATAGAGGACCTGAAGTGGGGGTGTAGTAAAGTGGGGAAATAGGGGAGGGGATCTGAATATGATCAAAATACATTGTATAAAATTCTCAAAGAGGCCGGGCGTGGTGGTGCACGCCTTTAATCCCAGCACTCCGGAGGCAGAGGCAGGTGGATCTCTGTGAGTTCAAGGCCAGCCTGGTCTACGTAGTGAGTTCCAGGACAGCTGGGGCTACAGGGAGACCCTGTCTCAAAAAGACCAAAAAAAAAAAATCTCAAAGAATATTTTTAAAGTTAATAAAAAAGAATTTTCTGTTAACTTTTGGTGACTGTTTTCTCAAGATCTCATTTTTAAGGCATATTTCAATAGTTTAGACTCAGGTAGATGATTCTCAGTCCATAATTGCTTTCAGGACTCAAATATATATGTGTGTGTATGTGTGTGCATGCATGTGTGTGTGTATAAGTACAATGAACATTCAGTAGTTATTACCATAAATGTTTTTATTGTAACACTGAAATCTTTATTTTTATTCCATCAAAGGTCCATGACTCCAGCTCAGGCTGACTTGGAATTTCTTGAGAATGCCAAAAAGTTGTCTATGTATGGAGTTGATCTTCATAAAGCAAAGGTAGTGGTAACTTTGGCCTTTAATAACATGCATGCATTTGCATTGTGCTGTACAGACCTGCTGATTAGATGTCATACTTTTCTTATCTAATACCTCTTACTAGCACTTACCTTTGGTACTTTAATATAGTCACAAGAAGGAATGCAAGCCACGACTGGCTCTTTTTTTAATTGTATGCTTTGTAACTGTTTTGGTTGTTGATTTTTTTTTTAGATTATTTAGTAATAGCCAATAATGTGTTGAATACTTTGCTCAAGAATGAATTGCTGATGCTTTTCTTTTTCAGGATTTGGAGGGAGTCGATATCATCCTAGGAGTCTGCTCTAGTGGCCTTTTGGTTTACAAGGATAAGTTGAGAATTAACCGCTTTCCTTGGCCCAAAGTACTAAAGATTTCATACAAACGTAGCAGCTTTTTCATCAAGATTCGGCCTGGAGAGGTACACAATTCATATTTCTCTCCTCCTTAACCAAACACAGACTAAAATATCCCTTCTAGCCAGACATGGTAGCAAATGCGTGTAATCCCAACGTTCAGGGGCCTGAAGCAAGAGAATTGCGGTTCAGGATGAGTCTGAGTTACACAGGAAAACCTTGTGTTAAGAATGAATGAATCAAATATTTCTTCCTTCCCACCTTCCTTATCATGTCATCTAAGAAGTTTCCATAGAACCGACTGTTCACAGACTGACGATAATTCTGTTTTCTAAATGACCAGCCCTGTAATGCTTTCACTTCCTTACTCCTAGACTTCTGGACATTTCTCTTTCTGTAAGTAGATACACCATGGCCAAAGTGAAACCTGGATTGACAAACATTTCTTGTTTACTCCAGCAAAAACTTGATAAAAAACAAAAACAAAAACACTTAAATTGGGTAGCATGGTATTTTGAAATTATTTTTGGGATTAAATTATTCATGTAATTTATTGTATGTGTAGATTATTGAGAATGTGTTCTAGGATCAAGTTTTAAGGGGAAGGAATTCTGGAGATTGAACCCACGGCCTCATGCATAAGTCCTAAAACTTTAATAGAACTTTGTGTTCAATTTTGCTTCAGAGGCCAGATATAGTAATATGCACCTGTAATTCTAGCATTTACAACATAGATAGGAGATTTAGGAGTTCCGAGCCAGCCTGGCTACATGAGACCCTGTCTCCACAGAAAACTAATACTACCACCAAAACTTTGAACCAGACAACTCAATAATTGGTGGTCCAATTTCAGGATATACAAGTAATTTCAACTTCTATATTGAAGAGCTGTCACAGTACAGTAGAAAATTGTTGAAGTAGAAATTAATTCCTTTTTTTTTTTTTTTTTTTTTTTTTTTTTGAGACAAGGTCTCCCTGTAGCCCAGCTGGCCTGGAACTCACTATGTTGACCAGCCTGGGCTCGAACTCAGAGATCTGCCTGCCTCTGCCTTCCAAGTGCTGGGATTAAAGGTGCGTGCCACCATGCCTGGCTGAAATTAATTCCTTTTAAAGATTTATTTTTAACTATTTGTATGTGTGTGAGGATGTGCACATGAGTGCAGTGCCTGTGCAGGCCAGAAGTCAGATCTCCCTAGAGCTGAAGTTGCAGGCAGTTTTGACCCACCTGACATGGATCCTGGGAACAAAACTTGGGTCCTTTGCAAAACAGTATTAATCTTAACCAGTGTTAATCTTAACCCCTCAGCCATCCCTACAGTCCAGGAATTAAGTTTTGTTTTGTTTATTTTTTGAGACAGGGTCTCCCTGCAGCCCCAGCAGGCCTGGAACTCTCTATGTAGACCAGGCTGGCCTCAATCTCACAGAGATCCACCTGCCTTTGTCCCAAGTGCTGGGATTAAAGGAGTGAACCAACAAGGCCTGATATTTTTTTTTTGACTCTGAATTCTTCTCTGCCACTTACTAAACAAAAGACTCTAGACAGATCTAGAACTGAGCTTCCTTATATTCAAGAAAGATAATAGTTTTTCTGTCCCAATTGATTTGAAGACCAAATGAGATAGATGACCACTGTGAACTCTAAGCAGAAAAGGACCATACTAATGTAAAGTGGCTTTTGTATGTATATATCACCATCTGCTGGTGAAAAATGGTTCACTGTTGCAGCCTGGAAATTCTGGGTGTGCAACCTTAAAAATCTTGTGTAAGGATCATCATTGAAGCACTGTTTGTTTGTTTGAGTTTTTTGTTTGTTTGGTTTTTTTGAGGCAGGATCTCCCTGTAATCTCAGCTGGCCTTGAACTAGCTATGTAGACCAGGCTGGCCATTTGATCGCACCTGTTGAGTGCTGAGATTAAAGGCATATGCCACCACACCCGGCTAAAGCACTATATATACCTTATTTACTCGAACCAAGTGTCTGTCTCCCCTCAAAGTTTCAAATCTTAAAATCTTGAACCAGAAATGTTTATTGAGCAGTTTCTTGTGTCAGTGACTAGTCTAGGAGCTAAAAAGGTAACCGTAAGTAAAAGGATGCCATTCCATAACCAGCTTACATTTTAATGTGGGAAGGCAGAAAAAATATAACTACAGAAATATTAATAACTATTATGAGAAGTCCATAGTTTTGAAATCTCAAGTATTTAATACTGAAAATTAAATATATACTAAAAATGCAGAATTATTTCTTAAGAAAGCAGTGATTCTGAAAAGTGGAGCACTATGACTCCAGATGGGTGTGCTATTTCATAGCAGATAACTTCTTTGACCTCAGTTTCTTCATGTGTGAAAATATAGATTATATTATCTAATCATACTGTGATGGGAATAATAAGCACTCAAAACAAATGCCAGTTTCCTTTTTCAACTTACAAAGTGTGCTTGAGGTAGAAACAAGCTAAAACTAAAAAGACAGTTTTAGTAGCCCTGGGAGGACAATATGGTTTGCTCTAGTCAAAGAGGCACTCCATAGACCAGCCAAAGAGGAGGAAAAACACTTAATAATTCAAGAATATAGGGAATAAGTGCAAGACACCTATTGTACAATGTGGTAACGTAGGTAACGAAGTATCGTATTATTGAAGATTGTTAAGAGGTACACTAGCATGTGTAAAGCCCTGGGTTTAATCCTCAGCATTGACCTTTCCCAAAAAACCACTTAAGAAGATAAGTTTTAGGTATTTTCACCACAAAACATGGCCTGTGAGTTACTGCATATGCAATTAGCTTCATTTGGTTATTGTACAGTATGCAAGCCCATAAGATGCACATACCAAACATGCTCAGCAATGTCAAGATTTGTCATTTTGACTTGTTGGTTCTGAAAATTAATTAAATTAAAAACATAATCTGGATTGAGTCACATCTTTAGCTCTTGTTACTAATTCCGACTGCATAATAGTATTGGCTGGCTGGAGGAGTTACTGGATGTCTCATTCCCAGATTGTTGAGTAATCTGATGTTGCAGGTACAGGTCTGTGACTAAGAAAAAACAGTTCTAAACCATCAGGAGTTGACTTAAAAATGCCGTGTACATGTGTGTGGGGGGGGTTGTTCGTGTTCTGAGCAAAAATAAGATGCATAAGTAATAGAAGGTGCATTTCCTAGCCTCCTTGCTTTGGACAAATCACTCTCAGTGAGCACATTTCTTTTAGTAAGTAGGAAACCATAATGTGTTTAATGTCTGTAAGCTGATAATAGTCCATATTTATAATCACTTCTTTGGTGCCACTGTGCCACTGAAATTGAGTAATTTCAATTGGATAATACTTCGTGTTATATGTTATGTGTCCTTACAGCAAGAGCAGTATGAAAGCACCATTGGCTTCAAACTTCCCAGTTACCGAGCAGCTAAGAAACTGTGGAAGGTCTGCGTGGAGCATCACACGTTTTTCAGGTATTATTCTCACTTAGGTATTTTTCAAGGACATGTTAATGTATGCATGTTTCTATTTTAAATTGCTATTGAAATTCTCTTCTCTGTAGGACTGGCATTTTACTTAGCTCAGGTGAGATCATCTTAAGCAGAACAGAGTCAACCTAATTCTTCTTCTTTTGGTTGTAACGTATGCCTCAGTGTTTCCAGAGCACCTCCTATATACTTTAAAAGGACAATGGAAGTGGGATCAATAGTAGCTTTGGGCTTTGTTACTGCCCAGTCTGAACAGTTGTATGACCTTAAGCACGTAACCTCTTTCTGGGACGTTTCAGTTTTCCATATTATAAGGTGATGAAATCATTTCAGGGATGGAGTAAAAATATTGCAATGCTATAAGAGCATTTTGAAAACCATCAAACCTTCATCTATAGAGACATAGAATATAATTAATGTAAGTTCCAACTAAATTAATCCTGGTTCCTTGAAATATGACGTAAGAGCTAAAATAATTATTACTTGATTGGAAATCTCTTAACTGCTAAAGTAAGCCACGGGAATTAGGAATCATTTTTATTTTGATTGATTTTTAATTTTATAGTCACAATAGTAAGATAATATATATGTAATATATAATTGTTACAATTTCTATCCCTTTCTTCCAGGCTGACTTCTACAGACACCATTCCCAAAAGCAAATTTCTTGCCCTAGGATCCAAATTTCGCTACAGTGGCCGGACTCAAGCTCAGACTAGGCAAGCTAGTGCCCTAATTGACAGGCCTGCTCCACACTTTGAGCGAACAGCAAGCAAACGGGCATCCCGGAGCCTTGATGGAGGTTTGTATTAGATATTGTTGATATTATCGAGATCTTTAGAGAGATCATTAGATAAAGATAAAGGAAGTATAAGGATATAATTTTACTTTGTTTTGTTTGAGACAGTTTACTATATATCTCAAACTGACCTCAGTTTCTTGATCCTTTTGCCTCAGCTTCCTGAATTCTGAGATTACAAACTTCCTGAATTCTAAGATTACACTATGCTTATCTTGAAGCATAATTATTTATAAGAGAACCAAACTATCTCAGATTTACAGAGAACCTTAGCGGTAAAATAAAAGGGATGTTACTGCCTAATTCAGACTTAAGAGAATCATCTTGAGGGGCTAGAGAGATGGCTCAGGAGTTAAGAGCACTGGCTGTTCTTGCAGAAAACCTGGGTTCAAATCCCAGCACCTACATGGAGACCTACATGTGACCTCTTCAAGTTCAAAGGCATCCTTGCCTGCATTCCTTCTGCAATGGCTGCAGCCTGGACCCAGTTTGGAGAAGCTTTGAATTATTTTAGAAATAAATCCCTACTTTCTTATTGTCGGGCACAAATGTAATCAAAAGGAACAGCAACAACAAAAAAGATCTCATAATTTTTTTTTCATTGCCTGCATGTGTCAGACAATACCTGCAGAGGTCAGAAGAGAGCTTTAGATTCCCCTGGATCTGGAGTTACAGATGGCTATTAGCTGCCATGTGGGTGCTGGGAATCAAACCCAGGTCCTCTGCAAGAGTAATCAGTGAGCTCAACCTCTGAGCCATCTCTCCAGTCCCTTCTTATACTTTTATAGACTTTTTTTTTTTTTTTGGTCTTTTTGAGACAGGGTCTCCCTGTAGCCCCAGCTGTCTTGGAACTCACTATGTAGACCAGGCTGGCCTTGAACTCACAGAGATCCGCCTGCCTCTGCCTCCTGAGTGCTGGGATTAAAGGCGTGCACCACCACACCCGGCTTTTATAGACAAATTTATAAATAAATTTTGAACTACTTCTTTTTTTTAAAAAAAAAAAAAATGGAGGGCTGGAGAGATGACTCAGCAGTTAAGGACACTAAGGACACTGGTTGTTCTTGCAGAAGACCTGGGTTCAAATCCCAGCACCCACATGGCAGCTAACAACCATCCGTAACTCCTGTTCCAGGGGATCCAAGACCCTCTTCTGTCCTCTGTGGGTATTGCACAACATGGGCGCACTTACACACATGCAATCATAGAACTCATACAAATAAATAAATAAATAAATAAATAAATAAATAAATAAATAATAAAGCCACATGTGGCTACTGGTTCCCATACTGAACAGCTCAGGTCTAGACAATAGTAAACAAAGTGAGTGAACAGAGAAGACCGCAGAGAAGACCAACTTGTGGCTGAGCCTTACAGGTTTTCTTTTCATTACAGTGGGAATCCATTGCAGGGAGTGATATAGTCTGACTTCTATTTCTAAAAGATCTCTGAGTGCTGGGTAAAGTCTCCACTAACATGAGGGTAAAGTAGGATGGAAGCTGATACAGGACTAGTGAGAGGTGGTAACAGCTTGGACTTGAGTATTGTCCACAAAGGCAGTGAAAAGTGGTTAGGAATATGTTTTAGAAGTAGGACTGACAGACTTGATAAATTAAGCATTGGAGATGGTGAGGGAAAAGAAAATCAAGTTTTATTCCTAGATTTGTTCATTTAGTGGAAGGAGAGAATCTGGAAGAGGAGCAAAGTTGGGGATGTAGCAAATCAGTTTCTGTTTTGTATTGTCTCTCAATCTTCATTTGAATATTAAGGCCTGGGAAGACAACTCAGCAGGTAAGAATGCTTGCTGTGCAGGCATAAGGACCTGAATTCAAATCCCTAGAACCCTCCTAAAAGAGGGGGTGCTGGAGAGATGGTTCAGAGAGTAAAAGAGCACTTGTTGCACGAGCATGAGGACCAGATTGCATGCACCTGGAACTCCAGCACGCAACAGCACAGACAGGAGGATCCCTCAGGCTTGCTGCCCCCCAGGCTTGCTCCAGGTTCAGTGAAAGACCCTGCCTCAAGGGAATAAAACAGTGATGAAGCAAGACACCCAATGTCTTCCTCTGGCCTCCATACTGCATTCAGCCCCTCCAACTCCCCCTCGCATGTGCATACACAGCACAAGACAGACACACATCAAAAGAAGAGTATTAAGTCACAAGGATAGCTAAGGATGACAAGGATTTTTCAGCTTCTATTTTTACTGCACCTCTTGCTTTTTAAGCTATTTCTATGCATTCCTATGTAATGCTAGAAGAAGCATTTAGGAATTCTTGCTTTACTCATAAGGAAACAGAAGCACAGAAAACTGTGTAACTTAGTAAGATCATACACCAGGTAGTTAGTTCATCCATTTGGTGAGGAATGGTTACACTGACACTTGCCAGAGGATTACATCCTTATCATCTTTGTAACTACAACAGAGGCTAAGCCTCACCCCAGTAGCTTATCTGTTTCATGTGTACCTGAGCAGCTGGCTTCTGGGTTTTGTTGTTGAAGATCCTCTGGTGATTCACATAGGGCCTCTGATAATGAAACCATTGGTCCATTGCATCACTGCTGTTCTTGTATCACATTAGCAGAAGTTGTGCTAGAACAAATCCTCTAAGTGGAAGCAAAGTTTCTTTTCTCAATATCATGGTTTTGAGTTTTACGCTTTATTGCTCCTGTATCTAAGTCTCTTTTCTGTTCTTTTTTTCTTTTTCTTTTGAGATAGGGACTTGCTGTTTAACCCTGGCTGGCCTAGTACTCAATATTTTGCTCAAACTGGTCTCAAGTCCACTGAGTACTGGAATTACAGGCATGAGTTACCACATCCAACTCTTAAGTTTCTGTTCTTGTCAGCCAACAGCAATATGGTTACAGAAGTTAGTGATTCTGTGAGAGTCACCACCAGCATTTCTCTATCTGAGCCTTCAAAAAATGAAGATAAGATATTAACTGTGGTGGTTTGAATGAGTGCCCCCCATAGGCTCCAAGTGTTTGGACACTTGGTCCCCAGTTCATGGCGCTGTTTGGGGAGGGTCATGGAACCTTTAGGAGGTGTGGCCATTCTGGAAGAAGCACATCACTGGGGACAGGCTTTGAGAGTGTATAGCTTGCCTAGTTCTAGTCTGGCTCTCTGCTTCCTGTGCGTGCTTGCAGATATGATTGCTTGGCTTTCTGCTGTAGCCACCTCCTCTGCCATGCCTCCCCCACCATTATACACCCTTACCCCTGGAACCATAAGTCAAATTAGCTCTTCCTTCTATAAGTGCTCTTAGTCATGGTGTTTTATCACAGCAACAGAAAAGTAACTAATTCACTAACTTTAAGTTAAGTGTTCTCTGTATATGTAACATATATATATACACACATATATATATATATATATATATGTTTCTTTAAAGAACCCTAATACAGAAATTGGTTATTCCAAAGTCTTGTAATAACTAACAAGTGAAATAAAAACACTTAAGAACCAGAACATCATTTGTCTGTTTTTGGTGCTGAGGATCAAACCCAGGACCTCAAGTATGGTAGGTAAGCATTCTGCAACTGAGCTGTATCCTAACCCCAAGACAAAGCATTGTGTGTGTGTGTGTGTGTGTGTGTGTGTGTGTGTGTGTATGTGTATTATACATGTGTGTTGGTATGCTCCACCTACTTTTTTGAGACAGATCACTCACTGAACCTGGAGCTGGTTAGGCTAGCTGTCCAAGAGTTCCAGGGATCCATCTGTCTCCGCCCTCCACCATTACCTCCAGGGCTAAGGCTGTAGAGGTGCAGCCAGCTTTGGCATGGGTGCTGAGGATCAGAACTCAGGTCCTCCTGTGTATACAGCAAGCAAATTACTGATTGAGTCATCTCCCCAGCCCAAACATTTTAAAAACAAATCACTACCCCTAACATTGAATATGTTAATAAGTATTGAATTATACGTTAAATGGTGGCTTGTATAATATGTAAATTGTATCTCAATGAAGTTAGTTTTGAAAGACCAGTCTCGGCCATATTCTATCATGATCCATAATTTTGCAAGGCTCCTTATTGAGGAAATGGACAAAATTTGCCTCTATACAGCACTTCTAGATGCTATTTTTCCTTGGATTCGTTCATCATTGTGTGCATAGTTTTTTCCCAGCATATTCTTGAAATAGTATTAGTCTATAACAAATTTAATATAAGGACTGAAATATAATGCTAAAAAGTTATTAATATTTAGAATTTATAAACTGTTTATGCCCATTGAGTATTCTTTCCCTAACTATCCTACCTAGTTAATGTCTTGTACATTTCACAAATGATGAAACTGGGGTCTGTAAAATAAGCTCCTTGCCGTAATACTGCTGTGTGTGACTAAAGTGAGCTTAAGCCAGAGATTTGTGATTTGGGTTTTTCCTGTATTTCTTGCTACTTTCATAGTGAGGGATGTTCGTGGGAATGCTTGTATTGTCCAGTTTCTGAACCATTGCCGTCTGTTTCTAACCATGAGTTTTTTATATTTATACTCGCTTTTCCATACACAGTACAGATTGTTGAGGGTAGGAATGCTGAAGACATAAATCATTTGGCTCTGCAATATTAGTATTGGATTAAAACCAAATTCATATCGCAAAATAACACATGGTAGAAGCAAGGGCTATGTTTCTATGATACCAGGCAGAGTTGAATTAATTCTTTCAGAGGAGGTGTGAATACACATGTATAATGAGACTTTAACACAACTGTGAGCAAAATATTTTGTCATTTCCCCTGTTTTGTTAGGTTTGGTTTGCCATCTGCCATTCTTACATTGACTGGCTGAGAGTCCCCATTAGCAACAGGGACTTGCAAGAGGCCACAGATTGTTCATTGAAAGAAAGTAGGGTTCTGTGTTTCTGCTCTTTTTTTTTTTTTTTTTTTTTTTTTGCTAGGCATCTCCTAAGAAATCCTTTTGCTAGAGAGCAATACAGGGTAATAGGTATTTTTTTTTCTTGGTGCTATATAAATGAGGTTTTAAATTTCAATTTTTCAATCTGTCCTGGCTTAAGGAATTCCTTTGTTTTAATTTTTACTGTTTATAAATCTAAAGGTACCAGGGGCTGGGTGTAGTGGCCTTTAATCCCAGCACTCAGGGAGGCAGAGGCAGGTGGATCTCTGTGAGTTCAAGGTCAGACTGGTCTAGATAGTGAATTCCAGGTCAGCTGGGGCTACAGTGAGACCCTGTCTCAAAAACAAACAAACACACACAACAAAAAAATCTAAATGTATCAGAATAAATTGGGGGGGGGGAATCTTTTTTGAGACAGGGACTTCCTGTAGCCCCAGCTGACCTGGAACTTGCTATGTAGACCAGGCTGGCCTTGAACTCACAGAGATCTACCTGCCTCTGCCTCCTGAGTGCTGGGATTAAAGGTGTATACTACCACGCCTGGCTCATGTCAGAATAAATTACATTCAATATAGTCAGTTTGAAAAGGAGAGTATACAATGAATCTGTGATTATTTACATGAACAAGTATTAAAATCTAAAAGTCTCAGTACAAGAAGGGACCATGCTCTGTTATTTTAAATGTTAAATCAGAGCCATTAAGATGGCTCAGTGGGTAAAAACTCTTGCCGTGTAAGCCAGACAGTCTGAGTTCAATCCCTGGAACCTACAGTGACAGGAAAGAACCAACTCCAAAGCTGTCCTCTGACCTCTACACACACATTGTGGCTGGCACACACTCATACACACACACCATACACCCACCCACAATAATAATAAATAAAATACAATTAAATCACATGGAAAAAAAGTCCTTTCATAGATAGGGTCAAATAAATAAGGTGTAAGGTTTACTACAAAGTATATGGTCATTTTCTTTTAATCCCTGAAGGAATGAAGGTAAAAACTAGAACTAGTGAGTGCTTTTTTGTTTTATTTTGTTGTTCTGGGGCTGAAACCCAGGGCCTCCTGTATGCTAGGCAGCCCTGTGCCACTGAGCCTGCAGGACTGTTTTGAAGTAAGTCATCTAAAGCAGGGATGTCAATAGTCCAAACCCAGGCAACAGTTAGTTCTGTGAAAAGATAGAGCTTTTTATTATCAGCTTATATTGTTTATTCTCTGTAATACAGTCTGTACAGCCTTCTTCCTAAAGCAGGGTTTCTCAGCTCAGCAACCTTTGCCTCTATGCACTAGATGTCAGCACCTCCTTTCTCTCTCCTCCCCAGCTGTGACAAACAAAAATGTCTCCAGACATTGCCAGTGTGCTCTGGAGGAGAAAAGTCAGAATCAACCCAAGATGAGAAACACTGCTCCAGATATTTTAGAAAGCAGGAGCTATACCAGATTGATAAGACTCTAGAGAAAATGCAATATTTATGTCTTGTTTTTGGATGGAAGTCCCACAACTTTTATATTATTTTTCATCAAATGATTATTATTAAAGGAAAATGTTTGGTTCAAAGATTTGCCCTTCACAACAAAAAGTAGTGAATATGTTAAGCCAGCCATTTATCTGTTTTGTAATCATTCTGAGAGTGCTTCACAGAAAAAAAAATCAGACTTGTTTTCTCTAAAATATATGTTTAGTTCCCCCACATCATCTAAAAATGAATAGATCTTTGTTTCAAAAAGGCTTCATGGAAAAACCAGCCTGAATTGACCCTTATTTTCTTCCTTCATACATTACTTTGCAAGCTTTTGAAAGTAACGGATTAAAAGATTTATTCTTCCCCCTGAATTCAGCATTTATGAAACATAACCATCAAGACACCTTAGCGTCTCTGTTGAGGATGCCTTTGTCTTATCATCAGTTGCCAGGAAGAGCACTAATGACTTGTGTCTTACCTTCTGTGATGGACCCTGGACACTGGAATGCTCAGAGTTCTGGATGTACAGTTTCACCCCGTGACTTTAAGGTAGCACAGTGGCACTGCCTTCATTTATCTTTCCTTTTCTTCTTTCTCACATAGCAGCAGCTGCTGAGTCCACGGACCGAAGTCCTCGGCCCACCTCTGCACCAGCCATTGCTCAGAGTCAGATCACAGAAGGCACTGGGTCAGGGGCACCTGTCAAAAAAGCACAGAAGGAAGCTGTGAAGGTTGACATGAAAGGGGAAGAGCCACCTGAGCCAGCTGAACCAGAGCCCACAGAAGCATGGAAGGTATGTCTTACATCCACACATCTAGCCAGTCTGTGTTCTGAGTTTCAGAGCCACTGAATCTTGCCAAATACCAAGTTATTTTTCCTCTTTGTTTCCAAAATACATCATCACAACCTATTATATATATTTTTGTAGAATCGTGTCATAAAGACTGTAAGCTCTCTATCCAGGAAGTTTCTAGATGACCTACACCTTGATTTAAGTTGGCATTAGAAAAATGGGGTACTTGGAACTGGAGAGATGGCTTAGAGGGTGTTCTTCCAGAGGACCTGAGTTTGGTTCCCAACGCTCATGTCTGGAAGTTTACTGCTGCCTGTAACTCCAGCTCCAAGGGATCTGATGCCTCCTCTTGGCCTCTGTAGGCACCCCCTGACACATGGCATACACTCACACATACACATAAAAGGTAAATTTTTTAAGAAATGTTTAAATAAAGAAAAATGGATTTCTAAAACACACCAGCATGGTGCTTGCTTTCTAAAATATTTTTTACTCATCCAGGAGGAATCTTCATGTTGCTTAAGAACAAGTTCTGCTATTGTGATTAAGCTATAATTTGCTTTTCTAAGATGGATATGTGGACAATTTTTCCAAAGACTAGGATTACATAAAGCACATTTATATAGTTATTTAAATCTTAAGCAGCTGAATAAGGAGATCAGTATGTAGGAGAAGTTATGCTGCTGAGTTGCTGATGATTCTGAGTTTATTGTACCATAGTCACGGTACTGAGTTGAGAACTTACCAATTTAATTAGCAGATTTCCACAAAATCATAATAACTGGACTAATCTTTAACTTAAAAATACATTTATGGGGATGGAGAGATGGCTCAGCAGTTAAAGAGTATTCTCTGCTCTTCCAGAACTGAGGTTAGGTTCCCATCACCTATCAGGTGGCTTCACAACTACTTATAACTCTGCCTCCAGGGGATCTGACGTCTTCTGACCTCTGCACATGCACATACAGGTACACAAGCACACCACATGCATATACATGAAAATAAAACATAAAATACATTTACACAGTGGTGAATTTGAGGTGCTATTTCAGGTCTATTAAGGTAGATACAGGTCTCACTCTTGTCAACAGGAGTTATGAAAGACCGTCTTCATAAGGATGGTTACATTTTCATATGTTTGTTAAAACCTTAGTAAGTGCTTTCTCTTTAGCATATAGATAGTATGTAGATTAATCCTGTTTTTTAAGAGCCAGGTCTGTAGGATAGTGGACACCTGTATTTTTAACCTGTTAAATATGACATACATATACAGTTTTACTGTCCTTGAGTGAATGATGAGTGTTTGCATTTTGTAACCAGCCAGATGTCCATGACATTGATCATCAAGTTCTTTCTGTGTAGCCTTTGAGTACCTGCTCAGTTTTTAATGTTAGAATAGTAATTATGCAGTATACTGAAACCATATGTATTATATAAAGTAACAGCAGTACCAAAAAAAACCCTTATAACTATGTAAATTTCATTATCTAACACTAGCTTGGGGACAGCTAGCGGTATCCCTTGGATCTTTTGACAAGGTCTGTTCTGAAGGTACAACATATTTAATTTAATGTTCTTTTTTTTTTTTTGGTCTTTTTGAGACAGGGTCTCCCTGTAGCCCAGCTGTCCTGGAACTCACTATGTAGACCAGGTTGGCCTTGAACTCACAGAGATCCGCCTGCCTCTGCCCCCCAAGTGCTGGGATTAAAGGCATGTGCCACCATGCCCAGCTAATGTTCTTTTTTTTCAAAAAAATTTTATTTTGTCTTATGTGTATGAGTGTATATAAGTGCACCCATGTCGGGCTAGAGAGATGGCTCAGCAGTTAAGAACATTGTTCTTGCAGAAGACCCGGTTCGAATCCCAGCACCCACACAGCAGCTAATGACTGCCTGTATCTCCAGTTCCAAGGGATCCAAAAGCATCTTCTGTCCTCTGTGGGCATTGCACGACACGAGTGCACTTACCTACATGCAGGCATAACACTCATATACAGAAAATTAAAAAAAAAAAAAGTGCACCCATGTCATGTCATCCATGAAGGTCAAAAGACCTCCCCTGGAACTGGAGTAACAGATGGTTGTTAGCTACCATGTGGGTGCTAGGACCCAAACCCAGGTCCTCTGCAAGAGCAGCCAGCACTCTTAACTGCTGAGCCATCTCTCCAACCCCTAGTTTAATGTTCTTGATAAGGCCATATGCAGAACTACTGCTGTTACTTGGCTTCAATTTTTTTTTAACCAGTTTTGCTGTTGCCCAGGCTGGACTCCTGGACTCAAACTATAGGTGTGTATCACTGAGCCTAGCTCTTTGGCCTCATTCTCCTGTTTTACTTTATTTTTATTTGTGTGTGTGTGTGTGTGTGTGTGTGTGCGTGTGCGTGTGTGTACATGCACTTGCACGCACATGTGGTACTCACAGAGGCCAGAAGAGGGTGTCACAACAGACAGTTGTGAAGCTGCTTGACATGAGTGCTGGGAACAGAAATCTAGCTCATTGCAGTAGCATCAAGAGTTTTTAACTGTGGAGCCATTTCTCCAATCCTTGGCTTTAGTTCTTAGAAGAATGGATCTCAATTTTCTGCTGCCAGATTACTAAGGACCCTAAAAGACATTATTGTTTAAACAAGGAATCCTAAGCTTTATGGAATAATTTAACACCAGTGTTTGCAGAGTACACTTAATTTTATGAGGACATTATCTCTAGTTTAAGCTGGACATAGTAGCACATGTCTTGTATGTTTTGTAATCCCAGATCTTGGAAAGTGGAATTGGAGGCTAGCCCAGGCTACAGAGTGAAATCCTTTCTCAAAAAAGGACATTATCTCTATTTTATCAATAAGAAAATTTAAGCTCAGACAGGTGAGCTGACTTGTTAATGACCATGCAGTGTGTAACTGGAAATCAGAGTAGAATGATCTAATTGTTACTTACCCCTAGTTGTTGAAAGTGCCATCCTTGAAGGTGCTTATGATTTGGCAGTATTACAAAATCTAGTTTTATCTGGTGTTTTTTTATATTCAGTCGAGAAAATAGCACAAAGGCATTGTACTACAGAGTAATGCTGCTTTGTGTGATTAAAAAAAAAGACTCATACACATAAAATAAAAATAATAAATAAAATATTTTTTTTAAAAAAGACTGTCAATCACAGGTTGATGAGGTTCTATTAAAGAAAAAGCAATACAAAGAAATTGACTTAACCCTTAGTAAAGACAATCTATTTTCTAATTTTGAAGCCTACAGTGCTTGAGGCAGTACTCATTCTACTGTGTCTCCTTAGTAGCTAGTCAGGTTTTAAATAATTACTCCAGTTTCTGTGAGTATTATTAAGCAGATTCTAAAGATATATGGGCAACCTTAGGTATTGTTTTGCTCCTACTTAGGATGAATCTTGACCTTCCACCAGCATGTGGCTTCCAACTTCCTAGAGAAGAGACTGCAATGTTGAGTGTTGTAGCTGAAGCCTATGTGCACATTAATTTTTTTAAAAAATGTTATTTATTATTTTATGTGTATGAGTGTATTGCCTGCATATATGTAAAAGCACCCAGGTTGTGCAGTGCCTGTGGAGGTCAGAAGAGGGTGTCAGATTCCCTGGAACTGGAGTTAGGATAGTTGTTAGCCACCATGTGGGTGCTGGGAACTGAACCCAGGTCCTTTGCAAGAGCAGCCAGTGCTCTTAACTGCTGAGCTACTTTCCAGCCCCTCTGTGATTATTTATAAATCAACCCTTGAAATAGTTTCATATGTCAGTTACAGTTTTATGGAATTTATTTTAATGCTTTATTGTGTAATGAACTAAAGAGTGAAACTACTTTCTTAAATGTATTGATCAACTCACGAAATCCTTTGTGTTTACCTGTTCTGGTGTCTTATATAGTTTATTATGTATGTGTTTTTTATTTTTTATTTTTACTTATTTATTTTTTATTTATTATTTTTATTATTTTATGTGTATGAGTGTATTGCCTGCATGTATGTGTGTGCACTCATGTCGTGCAATGCTGCGGAGGTCAGAAGAGGGCTTCCGATTCCCCTGGAACTGGAGTTAAGGACAGTTCGTAGCTGCCATGTGGATGCTGGGAATTGAAACTGGGTCCTCTGCAAGAGCAGTCAGCTTAACTGCTGAGCTATCTCTCCAGCCCCTATTTATGTGTTTTAACTATAAAAAATATCTAATTTCTTTGTTATTGAATATGTCAATGCTGTTGTAATGAAATGCTTCTTCTAAGTATGTGGTTATTAAATAATTTTTAAAAACTATCTAATTTATATTATATTATACATTTATATCTTCATTTGTATATTTGTTCTTAAGTGTTATTTAAAGTACTTCCAGTGCTGGGAAGATGGCTCAGTGGGTAGTGCTTGCCAGGCAAGCCTTACAACCTGAGTTCAGATCCCCAGAACCCATGTACAAAGCTATATGAATAGTGCATGCATCCGTATCTCTCTTACCAGGGAGAAGGAGGCAGAGATGGGAGAATACAACATACATCAATAAACAAGAGAGCCCTGTCTCAAGGTAGACAATGAGGACTGACACCAAACTTTGCCCTCTTCCCTACACATGGATACCATGGCATGCATGTACACTCTCACACACAAACATGAACATTAAAATCCTTCCAGATCGTTAGCCAGGCGTGGTGGCACATGCTTGTAGTCCCAACACTTGGGAGGCAGAGGCAGGCAGATCTCTGTGAGTTCAAGGCCAGCCTGGTCTACATAGTGAGTTCCAGGACAGCTGGGGCTACAGGGAGACCCTGCTTCAAAAAGACAAAAAAAAAGAAAAAAAAAAAAAAAAAAAAAAAAAAAAAAAAAAATCCTTCCAGATTATAAAAAAAAACCCTCAGAAAACAAAAACATAGGGCTCTAGTATTAAGCCTAGATTATTGTTTTGGTGAACACATTTTAAAATAGATATTTAAATGTTTTTTCAATAGAATGATTACCTTAATTTTCTTTTTTGGTAAGTTGACATGACCTCTTCAGCCTTGAAACTGTGATGGTGAACTAACAGATTGCTACTTGGGAGTGAAGCCTTGCCTGTTATGCCCTCCGTAAAACTGCATGGTGGTGATCACTTCTCAGTGTATTTTACCCCAGCTTCATGATGCAGCTTAACTACTCATAGAAACCTACTAACCTAAAATGTTTTGCTACTTTATTTCTTAAATGTAGGTGGAAAAAAACCACATCGAGGTCACAGTACCCACCTCAAATGGTGACCAAACACAGGTTTGTGCCAACAGGCCACTTGTTCCTTTTCCCTTCCACCCCCTCAGTTTTTAATTCTCCCCCAGTCCAAAAAAAAAAAAAAAAAAAACTATAAAAAGGTTCAAAGTTCAATGAACCAATATTTTATTACTTTTTTCTTTTTTGAATTATGGCAAAACAGAAGCTTGCAGAAAAAACTGAAGATCTGATAAGAATGAGGAAGGTTAGCCATTTTTCACTTTCACAAAACTACATCTCCATCTCACCCATGCTGACCCATGCATTAAAAAGAC